AATACAAACACATCTGACAACATGCAAGAGGTAAAAAAACTTATATAAAAAAGGATTCAAAAAGTAACTATCATAACAGTATAAAAAGAGTTAAAAGAAAAAAAAAGTCTGTGTCCCTCTATATATATTATATATAATACTTTTTGAAAAAACAGAAGTAGAGAATATTAAAATAAAAGAAGTACTAATTAAAGATTTAATCCCAAAAAAAATATAAAAAAGATTAATGCAGCTTCTAAATAGAAAATTAAGACAGTAGTTTCTAAATATAATCATAAAAATGGCTTGAACTACATTCTACAAACTGGTATGAAGAACACTATACAAAAAATTAATGAGTAAGAAAAAAGATAGAAATAACAGATAAAGCAAAAAAAGAAATAAAAAAAAGAGAAAGAAATCAAATAAAAGAAAAGAGACAAATTAGCAAACTATAGAAAAAATAAAAAGAAAACAAAAGAGAAGATAAAACAAATCAAAAAAGAAACCAGAAAGCAATGTTAGGTCTTGTTATAAAAAAAAAGACCCTTCTATTATAAACTTTAAGTAGTCAAACAAGCAGCTTATTTCTGTTTAAAGTAATGCAACAAGTTGTACTTATGTATCATTAGAGTAGCTAGGTAATGCTAGACTTAGTTATTAGGAGTATTTATATAATTGCAAATATAATTTCAAAATCTTAATAAAGTACTAGTATAACTGCTTAATAAAGAAAAAAAAATTATATCAATTCTTTATAAATTTAGCTTAATTATAAAAGTTATAATATTAACAACAGATAATGCTTCTTAATAATCTTTTATAATAATTTTGTAATAACATAATTGTAAAAAACTTTAATAATTTAAATTTTACACATTATTATTATTTTGTATATATGTTAAATCTGTCAGTTGTAAAATAAATTGAAATAATCAATTTACTAATTAAAAAATAAAATCATTAATAAGTTATATTAAGTCTTTTTAACTAATAAATAATAATTTAAAATGTATATATAAAGCAAAAATATAAAATATTTAATATTAAAATTGATAAAAAACATAATAAAATTCTGTTAAAAAAATAAATCAAATTTATATTAAAGTTATATTTATATAACTATCTATTAATTTATTAATAATATTTTTATAAAGAAGATTGCATTAATATTAATAATACAATAATTTTATTAAAGAAGGTTGGGTTCTATAACTTAATTGTTAAGCTTTTATCTTCTCACAGACAAGGTTAACAGTTCAAGTTTAGTTAAAAGTAAATACTTTATAACCAAAAATAGAGCCTATAATTAGATACAAAGCTCTGTAAAAGTTCAAGTAAAGATACATATTTAATCTAAGAAATTTCTAGAAAAAACCAATATAACAGAGTGCAGAAACTACTATAGTGAAAAATGTGAAGAATGTTATTAATATTTGCAAAAAAGATTGGCCTTATCTAATATAGAATTACCTCTAGCATTATAAATCCAAATAGATATAGTTATAAAATTTACTTCTATTAAGTAGAGTTTGTATTAAGAGTATTATAATCAAAACTAATATTTACAGCTATAGCTAATTATTAAACTGCTTTTATTCTTATAAAATTTATTCAAACTCTAGTAACTATCTTTTTGATATTTTTTCTATCTTCTCTTACTAACTGTTATTCAAAACTGATAGAACTTTTTAGACTATCAATTCAGATAGTATAGCATAGTATTTATTTTCTTTTGATGATTCTGGTAGTCTGGTTGATGCATATACTTCTCTTATATATCTGTTATCTAATTTAATTGACTATTTCTTTTAGGATGTTTTATAAGCTTCTATTAGTTAACAGCATCATTAAAAATTTGTGCTACTACTTTATTTAGAATTTTCAAGTAGACTTTTATTTTCTCAGTTTCTTGGTTTTCTACACTTGGTTGTCTAGTTATTATAACAAAAGTATAATTCCAAAATTCATTATTTGTAAAAATTGTACATTAGACCTGCTACTTAAGGGTTAACAACCTGTTCACTTTACTAGGTCACTACATTCCTACAAGTTTCATTTTAATTGTACCCAACAATCAAATTATACACATTTAATGATAAAGTAAAAAAAATTAAGTAAAACAAATGATATTAAATCTTCTATAATATAGTAATAATAATAATTGAAATCATTACAATTTTCAATAACTATCTCAACAGATAATTTTATTGATACTCAAAATTATTTTCAATTATTATAAAACAATAGTACATTACTTTCTCTAATACCTCTTCTATTTTTTCTATCCTATTAATCCTTCTGCTTATTCTATATCTTCTGCTCCTTTAATTTCTTTTACCAAACCCATTTATCCTGCTAGTTTTATTCTGACTATCTCATTTATTTCTAATACTTTTAATAAACCATCAAGTAGCCTATGAAATGAACTAGAAAAATATTTACTATTACTATTGGAGGATAATTCGAATCCATTAGTACAATGGTAAATGCAAAAAGAATTCCTTACTTTAAGTTTAATTGCAAGAGATTATTTGTCCATACAAACTACTAGTGTCCCTTCTGAGCAAGCATTCTCAGTAGCTAGTCTTACAATTCAAATAAAAGAAATAGAATGGACAATGAATCTGCAAGTATGATTCTGTGCCTAAAAAGTTGATTTCAGAAAGAAATTTGCCATATGGATAATTAGAAAACTACTGATTATTTTATTGATTAAATAGCTTTATTGCGTTAAAAGAAATAGAATAGACGATGAATTTGCAAGAGTAATTCTGTCTAAAAAGTTGGCTTCAAAGAGAAATTTGCAATACGAATAATTATAATGCTATGATTACTTTATTACATTAAAAAGAAATTACATTTACAATAATATTTAACATGTGTAACAATTATAAAATTAGGCTGCTAATAACTTTAAAATATTTCGCACTAATAAGATATTTGAAGGTGTGTTTTAACTTACGTAAATGATAAAATAAAAACCGATAACGATAAGTATTTAAGACTAATGATCGTCAGACCGATTTTAGGACAGAACAACGGACAGGACAGGCTAACACTATTAAATCTCATAGACAGAAGTTCGTCTAATCGGCTAATAAATCAATTTAATTTTACATTATTTATACAGTTAAGAATACTTTAAAAAAACGAAAACCAACCACAATAAAGTAAAAAAAAACTATATAGAAGGTTTCATTAGAGCTGTAGGACTCCATAGTCAAAAATATGATCTAATTCTCATCCGTTTAAAAAAATTAGCTTAGTAACAAGTTGACCTTATCAGGCTTTGAAAAGTTGTTACTATACTAACTTATTAAACGGACAAGAATTAGATCTTATTTTGGCCATGGAGTCCTACAACTCTAATGAAACCTTATATACAGCTTTTTTTATTTCACTATAATTAGTTTTCGTTTTTTTAAAAGTATTCTAAACTGTATAAATAATGTAAAATTAAATTGAATTTATTAGTCAATCAGACAAACTTCTACCTATGATATTAAATCGGTCTTACATGGATCAAGACCGAGCTACACCTGATCCTGTGCCATGATTGGTTTAAAATCACGTGCCTTCGATTTTTATTATTAGAACGGTGATACAAATTCCCAAATCAGGATACAAATAAGTATCACATAACGATAATCTAATATTCCGAATTTCCGAATTGTCACTCGTCGAACTAATTCTCATACAATTCAATGTTAAACTATTCAATCTTATTATGTTGAATAACGTAATAAATAATCATACGTTTTTTTTTTATTCTGCTAGCATGGGAGAGAAAATCTAATTAAATAATAGGTGATTACACAAATTATTCGTTAAACATGAATATCACAGAATTGGATAAATTATTTACTTTCATTAATAATAACATTAAAACGAATATAAACTAAATTGGATGCTATTACTAAATAAAATTGCCTATGGCATTAATTAAGTCAGTATAGCATACAAACCCGAAACCGTATATCAAGTTTATTGGCTGGATCCAATATTCTGCCTAGGCTTGGAACTTTTGAAAGCTGTGACGGTTACACTAACGATATCATATAACTATTATGAGCTTCAACCAATTTGACAGTAAACATTAAAGAAATTATAAAAAAAAGTATATCTATATCGTAAAACTACGATTTTTCAAATAAAACCGCCGTTTTAAAAACTGACTAGTAATTTTATAGAGTAACATAGCTCCATAAAATCATCTAACCGATTTGTAAAAATAGTTTAGAAACAAGAGAAACAAAGGTCGAAGATCTGACCAGTAACATTGTTCATTGTAATAACTCGGCAAGAGTTATCAGTCAGGTTTAAAATGTGTTTCTTCTATAAAGGTTGCTGTGCTTGGTAATATACTTGATATTTTGGTCACGTAACCACGAGCATAAATTTCTAATATTACAATTATTTTATCTGAAATTCTAATTCTAATAAATCTTTATAGCATTATTAACGCAATAAAAATGAATAATTATCCTTCGAAATATTGACCTTATTTGTCATTAATAACTCCGATTTTATTTTTCTTAATAACAGATAATAAATAAACGAACGAATAAAGTAAGTAAACGAAAAAATAACCTAAACATAAAAAAAATAATGCTACAAATCCTGCCGCCAACGATAAACGAAGTTTTCTAAAAAAATAAAACGAACGGACCTTTTTTTCAACAAAAAACGAGCATACTAATAAAATAAACAAATAGACCTTTTTTTCGAACAGAAAACGAAAAATAAATAAAAATAATGTTACAAATAAAAGTCGTCACCATCGATAAACGAGACATACTAATAAAATAAAACGAACGGAGCTTTTTCAAACAAAAACGAAAAAAAAATAGTCCCGCCAAAGACAAATGAAACATAATAATAAACAGAACTTTTTTTAAGAATAAAATTAAAATTCACAAATACAATCAGAATAATTGACTACAACAAATTTACATTATAATTGCCAATATCATTATAATTGCCAATATTTTCTTAAACATATTTTTTATCATTTGAAATTAAGAGCATTCGCTATAATCAATATATTCGCCAAATTCTTCATTAGTCTCCTTTTTTTGGGGTCTATAAATATAATCAGGATACAATTGTTTATGCCTTTTATCGGCGATTTCCGCCAAAATGGTAAAAAATTGTTTAGCTTGACGTGGTAATGTCTCCCAGTTTTGGGCAGCCTCTTTCGAAATCTCATCTATACTCATTGATCTTGTTCGATCAGGATCCTCCTCTTTCGCATGGGCAATATATGCCTTGCGATAGAGGATAAATCTATTTTGAGGTCTTGGCTGTTTTTCTGTATTTTGTTCACGAGGAGCAAGAATCTCCTCTACTGATAATTTGAGATCAATTGGGAGTGTTTTTAACAAGTCGTATACTACGGCAAATAAAGCATCAATTTCTTTCTGGAGAGAATTTTGGGATGGGCAAGGATTTTCTTGAATAATCGCAAATCCATCGTTATTTTTTGAAGACATTTTACAAGCGTACTTAGTATTTCATGCTTCGAAAAATGAGGTGTTTAAATAGTGAAGATGCTAATAATTTCCGGAATTGAGTCTACGCGAATAAACTTTTCAAAGGTTAGAAGAAAATTACTTGCAGTTCTTAATAATTGATATATAATAATACAGGATCAAAAAACCTTATTTGATAATCAAATTTCATTATGCACTTTAACAATTAGCTCTTTAACTGAACATGCATTCCTGAAGCCTTCTTTACCAATTTATTGATAAATGCATATATTTGTTTTATATTTTTATTCTCTTTATCTCTTCCAAATTATTCCATTCATTCATTTTTCCTTGTTCGGCTGTCTCATAAAATTTTCTTACGATGCCATTCCATAAAAATTTAATACAAACTCGCTAACGTCATGCATAAAAATCAAATTTTAATTTCATGCATAATAAATGAAATAATTTTAGTTGATAAAAGTGTCTTCGTCATTCTGCTTAGAAAACTCCAAATGAGCTATTTGTGTTTGAACGGAAATCTTTATATACAAAGCGATTTTTGAGCATCATCTAAATGTATTTAATTAGTTAGCTGATCGTCAGTCCTTGTTACCAAATTCCGTGCTTTTGGGAAAGACTTACCTTTAATAACATGTAGTTATGGCAACATTTTGTCTTGCCTAAAGGAAAATTATTAGTAATAAATGTTTTTTACAATATAGCTTATTCCGTATTCTTTAATTCATCTCTAAATTTGTGAACCATAGATAAATTTAACCTTTTGATCCGATGCATTGGTTCGGAAAATCAGACTTTATGGAATTTCGGTTGTTGTGGATCATGAGAAAAAGCTGGTACGCCAACTTTATTTAAAAAATATCCATATGAAATCTTATTAATTGCCGCATTAGTCTCTTATATTTACCACGTGTTTTTAAAACTATCAGATAAAAATTTAGTAACAATAAAATTTAACGGATCAACATGCAATTTCCGGACTCCGAAAGTACGATATCGGAAAACCTTCTCGTTATTGGTCGATCACATATATTGAATAGCACGTCATGATTAATCAATTGCAGATCATGTGCAAACTGGCCAATCAAAAAATTTTATTTGTTATAAATGATATAATATTATATTATAAGTAGCTGCGCAACGCAGTCGCGCGAAACCAGGAACGGGGAAATCTACGCCGACTCCATTTCAGTCATGGGAAACCATATTCTTGATTGCAATTAGAGATGGGCACGTGCGGGATTTTTAATATGATCCCGAAATAAGATTATTTGGCCGGCATTACCGTAATATCTGACTAGCATTAATATAATATCTGACCTGCATTAACATATTTAGCTAATTCCTAATTAAAATTTATTTATTTATTTGCATACCATTTCACACATATGTTTATTTATATATACGATAATAATTTACTTTCTTTGTCGTTGGTATCTTTCGCTACATTACAAAAATATTTTTATGATTAAGTAACTCTTTTAAAAATAAATAACATGCATAGTAATAATAATATTTGGAATCATACAAAAATTGGATCGGATGAAACCTTTAACCAAGGACGTGCTTAATGTAATTACTGCCATTAAACCTCGCAAAAAATACGTGGAAATTCACTATTTTGATTGACCAATGGCAACAACCAAAAATTTAGGCAAAATTATTCGAATTTTTAGTAAAGAAATCGTGGCCGCTCATTAAGTGAATTAGGGTTTAAAATTTTGTGGTTTAATGAATCCCATGTGGGATTTTTGGAGAAACCGTAATTTGCCATCTCTAGGTACTATATATCCCGTGAAATTACATGAAATCCATGTTACTAAAACTTATGTGAAATTACATGCATTGTAATTTTCAACTCTAATTTTAACATTACACAGACCCAAACCTTAAACAATTAAAAAATCAAACTCCGGTCAAAATTATGTACAATGCAGCCAAAATTTTGTTGATCACAGCTGTTGGCCAATCAAAATGAGGCTCACCATGCAGCACCTATATTTAATGAATCCCGCATGGGATTTTTTGAAGAACCACGATTTTCCCATTTCTAATTGCAATCCATTCCTGGTATATAAAAATGACTCTTTATAAAAGAAGATGATAGTACTTGCAATCTGAATATTGGTTAGAATTCCAGTAACTGAGCTTAAAAACCTATTAATAAAGTCAATGTCTGACTGCTATATAGTTGGTTAGCTAACAACACTCAGTTCTGATTAGTGATGTGTTACATATAGTACAATACACAAAAATTTTTTAGATATTATAGAACAAATTATAAAACCATTCATATCTCAAAGGTTTCCTTATAAAACTACCTTTTGTATTCTAAGTAAAATTATTCCTGACAATATTTTGTATATAGATAGTTTATATATCATATATGTACTATACATGTTGCATATGCTATACATACTATATGCATTATACATATTATACATACTGTATATAGTAATATTGGATATACAGTCAGGAACAGCACTAAAGAGACAAGAAAGAATATGATGAATTGTTGTTTTGAATTTGTTAATATTATGTAATGTTACTTAAGACAGGTAAAACAGATTCAATTTGGTACTGGTCAAAGATGGCCTTAAGAATGTTACTAGAGATAGTTTAAAGAAGTATAGGTTTATTAATTATTGGTTTATTAAAATTAGAACTTTATTAATTATGATTTTTATTTATAGAATGGATTACAATTTTAAAGATGATTCAGTTTTTATTTATAAAACAGTTATTAATTACAAGAGGGTGAATTCAAACTATTTTTATAGAACATTTTTTTAAAAAAAGAGTGAACTTTGAACATGGTTTTGACACTCTTTTTCTTATTATCAAAGACTATTTTTTTCTTATTCACTAACACTCTTTCTTTTTTTTATAATTTATTCATTATTACTTTAGATTTTTGTTTTTTTATCTTACATTAACATACAACCCAATATATGATGACATATTGACATAGTTACAAACTTTATCTATTAAGACAATATTACCTTAACAGTTGTATTCTAAATTGGTCAGGTGGTTTTTTCTTTAGTAGATTAGTGCTGTTATTTAATAAAAAGCTTGATTTGTCTTGGATTGTAGGCATCATAGTATGATAGTTTTTTATAATATAAATTGTAGATCATTATACAATGTTTCTTTATGTTTCTAGAGTCAGATTTATTCATAACAATAGTATATGCTAAAAAAAAAAATCTGAATATCATATAAATGATACATCATTAGTTTTAATAAAAATTCTAGAGTTCTATAAATCTACAAAACATATCTATATATTTAAAAATAATTGACAAATTCTTTCAATTAAGTGCTTGACAATCAGTAATTATTATTTTACAAAATATTTAGAATTGAGAACTTTAAATTTACATCAAGTTACTAATTTTTGTATCAAAAAAGTTATTTTTATTATTGTTTGTTATTGCATCTTTGATTTTACAGATGTATATGCTTTTTTTTATTAGATTTTTTTTTTACTAAATCATGAATAAGTTATGTAGATCAATCAATTTCAAGACTTTGTGTATAGAGACATTTATTCCTAATATCTATCTTTTAAAGTATTGTTCAGGACAATAAAAAATATTTGGGAATTTTTTTTTATATTTTGAGAACATCATCTGATAATTTTATATTTTCAAACTATTTTTAATATTCTTACTAAAAAAAAAAATAATAATTATAATATTTTAATATGTATATTATAAGAATATAAATTAAAAATTTTATGTTTTCAGATTGTTTTCAGAAGAGAACATAATTTTAGGTACAATGTTCTTAAATTTTTTTAAAGATTCTTAAGATTATTAAGAACATTAAATATTAAATACTGGTTTGAGAAGTCAACCAAGAGCCTGACACAGCAGACCTTGACTACTTCTACCAAAACTTTTCTAATAGTTTTGGAATTACTCTTTATAAAGAAGAAAGTGGCAATAATGCTTATCCAATTCCTCCCAAAGCTAAACTGACATCCTGCTTAACTAAAAATCTTAGATTCAATAAAATTACTCATTTCTTTAAGCTTCTACCTCTACTTCTATAATTACTTGTCTCTATGACAAATATCATACTAAATTTATCTCAAACACTAATACCAATTATACTCAAACTACTGAATTTATTAGTTAATATCAATACTAATTCTAAAAAGAATCTCAACAAATCAACTTAACAACTTATAAATAATCTCTCTTCTTTAACTGAAAGTGTCCCTTCATCTTCTACGTATAATATACATTATCATACCTACCCCAAATGCTCTCTTCCAATTGGTTGTACCAAGAGAAATGAGCATCACTATTCTAATAAAAAATACATTACCAAAAATAATGAACTCTATTATCCTACTTGTATGATTGCCTCATCTCAACATAAAGCTAGCTCATCTTAAACAAAAAAGAATCTTATACAAACCTTTCAAAAAATTCTTCATGAATCATCTCAAACTACCAATCCTAATTCTGTTTTCTCTTACCAGAACTCTTCTACCACTTCTGATCTTATTGACTCTTTTTTTTCTACAACTATTAATACTAATCTTACTATTAATTAATCTTCTATTATTACTATTCCTAATAATACTAACTTAAATTTTAACAACAATTCTAACAACTCTAACCAACCTGATACTATCTTAAACAAACCTCCTATTCAATCTTACTCAAGTATTCTTAAACCAAAATCCAACTCTATATATGATTAGCTTTCAAATTTTCTCATTACTGAAGAAATACAACCTAACAAAAAACTACAAACTTCTTTTTTCTTCAACTTTTCACTTTCTTTAAAAAATTTCTTTATGATTTCTATCCTGATAAAGAAATTAAATCTGCAACTCCCACTCAATCTGCTCTTAAAGCTTTATTCTATTACATTATCTGTAATATAGCAGAACAATAACCTGAATTCTTAACTGATCTTATTTACAAAAGCAATCCTAATATTAACAAAAGTATTACAATTTTTTTTGATCTTTTTTTGAA